AAGATTCCCATAGGGTGCATATGCTACCAAGATTCCCATAGGGTGCATATGCTACCAAGATTCCCATAGGGTGCATATGCTACCAAGATTCCCATAGGGTGCATACATGTTGTTGTATGCTACCAAGATTCCCATTGGTTACATATGCAGCAAATGTTTCTATAGGTTCCTATTTATGAAATTAAAATTACATTTATATTGGTGCACATGTAAAAATTGTCTATATAAAACACTGTTCCTGATTACAGTATCATTCACCTTGGTATTGACACACAGAATTCACAGGCATTAATTTTGTTGTGAAATGTCCACAAAGTGGATATATTGTATAAATCTGATTGACACACTAATACTTACATAGTGAAGTTTATTAATTTATTAATTAATTAACTGTTTATTCAACTAAAGCTGGGAGCAATAACATTCACTCTGCACTGTCATAGTACATGTTTATTTCATTACAGCACCTAGAAAATAAATTCCAGATACATGTTCATCTGCAAAGTTTATATTTATACACACAAAATCTGTCTCTTGATAGTGAATAAAAATATAAAAATAAATTAATTATTTAAAATTCTTTTCTTTTTTTCTTTTCACGCATTTAATATCCTTTCGATGGTTGGATTAGCCGGATTTAAGCTGCTTTTTCTCTTGTTGTAATTAAATTCCAATTGCTTGGCAGGGTTGGGTATTGTTCCACCATCTGCCACTAAGTACAGGTTTATCTTGTACATCCATGACCGACACATATGCCAAAATATCTGTATTTGTTACCAAACGGCGCTGAATTTGATAGTGGATGTAATTGGTTACTTTAGCTCTCAGGCTTATTCTTAGCCTGTCAGATCAATAAAAAATAAATTATCAAAAATCTGCAGTGTCCAAACAATTTAACTTCTAGCTTTGAAACCAAATGAAAATTTAAAGGCTGGGATTTTTGGGGTAATTTTATGGACTTTTTGAATTTTCCGAGACTGAAGGATGTGGATTTTTGTAGAAAAGTTACACATTCAGGCAGCGTACATGTATTTACAAAGTACCGATACAGACATGTAGATGTCAATCTAATCTTTTCTTAGCGACTGACAGGCACCTGTAGTGACCCGTGATGATATTGATCTATATGATTGACATGTGTGCATTAATTCCCCAACATGTCGCAAATCACTCACATTGTTGTGTATTATTATTGTTCTAAATATCTTAGCTATAAGCTTCTATGATAATTGGCCATTGTTGAATATTGTACGAGTTGTCATTAATATTCTGTCATTGTCACTATCAGTTATGGAATTCAACTAGTGTTCTCTCTAGAAATTAGACTTGTATACAATCCCCTATTTATTTGTTGTTGTTTTCTCAATAAAATAAAAGGTTGTGGGAGTGTAAAAAAAGTCGGATTACCTGACTTTTGTGGTCACTCGGCATTCGCCATTTATATTCCCACAACATTTTATTTTATTGAGAAAACAACTACAAATAAACAGGGGACTGTATGCAAGTCTATCCATAAATTTAAACCACTGTGATGGTATACATTTAAATACCAATTTGCATACACATGCATATTATTTGCATAATTACTTTAAACAAACATTCTCAATTACACAACTTTTTCTTTGTCGAGCGGAGCTTGTCATATGATTGTCCGTCGTCGTCGTTGTTTTACTTTTTTGACTTCTTCTTGAAAACTACAAGCCTGAATGCTTTGATACTTGGTGTATATGTACCTTGGGTAGACCTCTCTTAGATTTGTTCATTTCATGATGATATCTTTAATTCTCTAATTTTGGTGAATATTTTTGTCATTTTTGGAGACATTTCGACTTCTTGTCAAAAGCCACAAGTCTGATTGCTTTGATATTACATATATAGGTACTACAAATGGACCTCTCTCAGATTTGTTAATTTTGTATTGATATCTTTAATTCTCTAATTTTGGTGAATATTTTTGTCATTTTTGGTAAAACAGTGATATTTTGACTTCTTGTTAAAAACCGCAAGTCCAATTGCTTTGATATTACATATATAGGTACTACATGTGGACCTCTCTCAGATTTGTTCATTTTGTAATGATATCTTTAATTCTCTAATTTTGGTGAATATTTTTGTAATTTTTGGTAAAAAGTGATATTTTCGACTTCTTGTTAAAAAACGCAAGTCCAATTGCTTTGATTTTGCATAGATAGGTACTACATCTGGACCTCTCTCAGATTTATTCATTTTGTTATGATATCTTTAATTCTCTAATTTTGGTGAATATTTGTGTCATTTTTGGTAAAAAATGATATTTTCGATTTCTTGTTAAAAACCGCAAGTCCAATTGCTTTGATACTACATATATAGGTACTACATGTGGACCTCTTTCAGATTCGTTCATTTCACGATGATATCTTCAATTCTCTAATTTTGATGAATATTTTTGTAATTTTTGGTAAAAAGTGATATTTTCGAGTCCCATTGCTTTGATACTCTACATATTGTTCATTTCTAATAATATCTTCTGTTTTTTAATTGAAATGTGCATTGCTATCAGCGGAGCTTTCTCAGCCGACAGGCTACTTGTTTTAAAAGTTAGCAATAGGTGGAAACAATGCACTGTGGCAGTCACGACAATGACTATGGTCAGACCAGTGTCGCGATAAAACAAAGCAGTGTGGTGGTACAACCACTATGTTCGTATCCTAAGGAATACTCTCATTGTACATTTCATGCTTACCAGAATGTTTAAATGCTGTGTAAAATGTATTTAAAATATTCATGTTCTATTCCATAAAGAGAAAATATTATACACATACATCCTAACTGTATATTTGGCATTTCCATAGTTACGCAGAATGAAAACAGCCTTACATTTTAAATCAATTGATACTGGTTTGAAACTAAATTTACACAATGCTGTATTTTTGTGTGAAATTAATATTTTTGTAAATATTTATTAAAATAAGTCATAATAAATATTCAAATAGTACCATAATATTGTAAAACATCGTGACCCAGTTTATAGTTGTGAAGAAATTTCAAAATCCTCCTATTATAATATTTAATTCATAACATTTGTGACTAATCGGCAATTAGCTGTACCCTATACAACTGTAGTAGCTATACAGAGATGTTTATATCCGTTCTATGTAAATGGGTCCCACAGCTGGTAACATTTTGACAAAAAATAATCAGGAAGCGAGAAATTAAATATTAATATTTCCTTTTTTGTTATTTTTTTCAGGAGACTGGATTAACTAGCGATTGGAACCAAAGATGCGTGTATATTTACTTTTGAGATAATGGAAGCAGTATGCAAATTTCTACCGGTGGCGGTATTCATCCTGAATTGTGTTATCATAGAATTAGAATGTGCTATTGGTAGGTATATGACCAACCTTTGTGTTAACTCTCCTTTGAATACCAGTTTTATTCCTGAATTTTGGTGCACCATTTTTCATATTTTTTATGTATTTTTCTAAAATTTTTCGTAAAAATTGGCGTAAATTCCCATTTATTTGAGTTGATTTTTAAACAATACAAAAAAATGCTACTGGATTATTTTGTGAAAGGTGAGGAGAAAAAGTGACTGGAATTATTTAAAAAAAATTGCCCTGCTTGTTTTAACTGTACCACAATATAAAATACATGTATATAAACTAGCAGTATTTTATCTACATCATTTGCGGGGTTACCTTATATGGAAAATATTTCCATCAAGTTTTCTCCTTTATTCAAACACCATATTCTAGTATTCAAATTAATAATCAAGTTTTTCAGAGTCCCAAATTGATCTGTGTGTGGTATATTGAAAGTATAATTATTACACACCTGGCATTTTGCCCAATCACCATGGTAACATATACTATAACATATAGTTTAGCCTACTACTATGTGTTTGCATAGTGGTTTATAATTGTAATGAATCAATAAATAAATTGTTTATTACTCACACATTCTGGTTTTAAGCTATGTGTAATACAAGTATAATTGTTTGCTATAGGTTATTTATTTAATAATTGTGAATAATGTTTTATACCCTTGTAAAATGTGAGTAATGACTACTCTAATGTGGTTTATTTTAACTGGTTAATCAAGTATATGCTAAAATGCTAACATTGTAAATAAAGACATTAATTTGAATATATATCTGCCACATTCTGATTACAGTATATGCTATATTGAAATGTAGTATGCTAGCACATGCTTTTACAAAAATAACAGAGGTGTGTTTCTGGTCAAAATCATATTATAATAATCCAGCATAAAGTAAATAACAAATTTTGGCATTTCATGTGCATTTCTATTGGTGGCTTGCTTCCAGTAGAGCAAACTTACATGGTAATGTTTTCATAAAATTCCAGTAGCATAAAATACATTTGATAGTAGGTAAGTACAGTATGTCAAAACTTATACTTAGTACGATTCGTACATTTGTGTTTTTGATGCGTGGAGTTTATGTTTATCAATTTTTGCCTAGCCGATAATATTTGCTTTCATTATTTTGCATGCATAGTTATTTTCATTTATTTCAATTGCTTTTGGCAATGGCGAGCAGCAATAACAATTACTACTCATGTTTTAACGAATCATTTATTTCACAAAGGTCGTGAACTTACATCCTAATCCATTGCATTAATAGACCTTTCATGCAAATAAATTTCATGACCACATTAATGGAGAGAGTTATATGACTTGTTTTTTTGGGGGGGCAGGGGCGGGGGCACAATTTTATCATATGAGTGCATTCTCAATGTGTTTTCAAGTTCATCAACTCATTTACATAAATCAGCATCATATTTTATATATATGCTTACTATAAAACTACTGATTATGAGCAAAAAATACCGAAAAAAATTCTAAGGAACTGTGAATGATGGAGAGAACATAATTGTTTCTGTATCTAATAAAAAAGCTTAGAAATCGTTTGTTATTATTAAAAGACACTGCAGTGGTCAAACTGCTTTGTAAACCAATTCTATCATAGGAATGGCTCCACCTTGTTATATTTAGGCGATATGTGGGATAAACCATGAAGGAAGTATTCTGTCACATAATAATACAAAACAGAGTGTAATGATTTTAAGTTTCTTAGTGTAAATCTATGACGCTAGATATCAGTGTTGTATTTCATTCAGAATTGCCTGTGAGCGATTAAGTTCATATGTAAATCACCAAATTGAATATTAAGTAGTAAATAATATGCTTCGTGTTTGAATGTTAATTAATTAATGTTAATTAATTTGTACGGGTGTATGTATCGCTTTGGGGGAATCGGTTTTGCCAGAAATGTTGGTGTGAAATTAATTGCAGTCTAGGGATTCTGGTACATACATGTACATGAATTGTCAATACATTGTCTCTTAATTGGTTGTCAAGGTAACCATGGTTTATAAGATTGAATGTATTACCTGCGTTTTACACAACGTTTTACTGTGGTGTAGATGGCTCTGCTGGGGTTGAACTGCTATTGAACAACTGGTAACCCATAATATTTACAGCCTGTGTCGCTAGTCAATCATTGAATAGAATTTAAAAAAAGAGAAATATAATCTTTTTTTGGATATATTACACTTCTAATAATGAAATTGTTATCCCCAGAAAGCTCATGTTTCTGAATGCTGAAATGAAACCCAGTGCAATTTTCGTCACTTCAAAGTGAGAATTTTTCTGATTTGTGAAATTCACAAAAAATGGTTTCCTTTAAAATTTGAGTTTTTATAGTAGAGAGTTTTATATTTTTCAAAATGTTGATTATTGTGTTTTTAAATGTTGATTGTACCTTTCAAAATGTTGATTATTATTTTTGAAATCTTGAATGAACCTTTCAAAATGTTGATAATTATGTTTTAAAATGTTGATTGAACCTTTCAAAATGTTGATTATTGTTTTAATATGGTGATCAAATATTTCAAAATGTTGATTATTGTTTTAAAATGTTGATCAAATCTTTCAAATTGTTGATAATTATGTTTTGAATGGTTGATCTAATCTTTCAAAATGTTGATAATTGTTTTGAAAAGGTTGATAAAATCTTTCAAAATGTTAATTATTATGTTCAACAATATTCACCAAAGTTTTGAAATGTTGATCATAATTATTATCCAACAAATCGCCATATGACTGTCTACAAAATGTACCAAAATGTTGTAAAACAGACTTAGAAATTAATCCTGAATGTACATGCATGTAACAGATCATCATGTCTACCTGCCTGCATGGCTGTGTGAATTTCAGACACAAAGTAGTCTTTGCTATCGTTGGATTATCCCCGCTATATTTATGTTTATGTAACAACTACCATCTGCTGTTCCATAGATGATTGACGATGGACATTTTCATGAATAGATGTAAAAATCTACAACCATCATTTATCATTGTGTCTATAATTACTACTGTCGATTTCATATCATGCATATTTTGGATAAGGACTACGACTGGTGTCTATATGTATTGAGTAAGACAAAAATGTAGGTTTCATTTACTTTACCCTGCAGCAGTCACAGCTTTTTATTTTGCTTTTCTGTGAAAGGACTACTGAGTTTAATAAATATGACGAAACTGTTGTAGAGGGGGCTAGAATAAGTTGCTGTAAAACTATTTATTTTTACTGGCAGTTATTTTCACTAATTTGTTGCTTTGAGCAATTTCACTGGGTTTTAATTTCACACATTTGGCAGGGATATTTTTATAGTTCTAATACCAATCAGTGAAAATAGCGACGTTAAAACCCAGTTAATAATCAATGCTTTTACAGTACTCATGAAATAACTGAAACAGACATCACTAAGATTTCAGCAAAATGTTTTGTGTTCCACTGCAGTGTAAACACTGTATGGGTAATGATACACATACCTTGAAACTTGCCACACCTTGTGAGGTAGCATGTGTTACCAGTACACTGGGTGTAATATTACCATCATTCTGTAAAACTAGAATCACAATAACTGTGATAGGAATCTGATCTAGGAAAAGTGAACGTGAAGGTCATGCGCTAACGTTCACACATTGTTGAAATAAATCACAGTCTCTCCATAATATTATATATTTTTATAGAGAGACTGTGACTGAATATAGTAATAATTTGTCTGCAAACATTCTGTTGACTCAATGTCTGCCTGATGCTAATATAGTGCATAATATATTCTGTGGTGAAATGCACTGTACATGTACACACTGTATATGGTCTATTTGTAATAGCACATATGCTTAATCAGGTGTGTCTACATAGTTTAATCACAATAAGTTATATTTTAATAATATTGTCTCTAGTAAATGCAATGTGTGGTTTTATGTGTGCTTATATTAACACATTGTTGATTGAAATCCTCCACGGACAGCTGATATGAATGGGTTTGCAGGCGTGTGTAACTGTTTGAGCAAATATAGTATATTAATTAACACTTACATTTTAAATTTCTAAAAATAGTCCAAAATGACAACATTTGAACATTCAGCACACAAAAACTAATTTTTTACATCAGCATACTTGTACTGTATAGAATATGGCGATTACGCCATATCTTTTTTATCGTCATCATGTTGCAAATATTTATGAAGGATTTGGTTCAAAATAAATTTATCTCGGATACACTGTTGCTATGATACAACTAGACAAACAATAAAAATAATAAAGCTAATACTTTAATCTATATAACAGTACTTTCAGTGTCATCATGGCCTTTGACCTTCTGTCTCAATATCTATACTGTCGCTATGTTGGCAGAGTCTAACAATGGGGTGTCTGTGACATCACGTTTAGTCAGCAGGTCAGTTATGCTCAACTACAACACTTTGTTTTATAGGGAAATTCCATTCTACAACTATAGACAACAGACTAATTTTTTTTCTAAGGTATCATCTTGTTATATACTATCAATCAATTATGAAATACGGTACACATGCCTTATGTCCCAATTATTGATTGTTATACATCTAAAGTATGAACAACCCACAGACTTCATTGGTCAGTCCCTTCTAAATATCATACTCTGTCCTCTCAATATTAATATAAAAATGCTTTCTAGTGCAGTTGTATAATAATTAGTCTCAAAAATTAATTTGCTTCTGGTCTTCAGATGTTTAAAAAAATGGCACGGTAAAACACCATTTTTTTTTATAATCTTGTTTCATTTTTTTCATTCTGGTAATATGCAGGGTGACATCTTTTTTTTTTTGCATGTTTTTGTTTTGTTGAATTGGATGATAACCCAATCTAGTTTTCACCATTTCAATGTGTACACGACATCGTTCATCAGAACAACAGTTCATTTGAGTCAACCCTGGAACTCATGTACAATAAGATCTTCATCACATGAATCATGAAAGTTGCCTTCTCGTATGAATTATCAGAATTACACTATTGCGTTCAAATGTACCTACAAGCAAAAAAAAAAACTCTGTAATGATAAACTGTGACTGCATATTCAGTCTCTCAATTCCTCCCCTCTCAATTCCTCCCCTCTCATCTGGTAACTGTATATTATCACTGACTTGTCAATCAATCGGTTGTAAAATAGTGCATCATAGATGTATTACATAATTCTTTCTGATATCAGATTTCTATTCTTTCACTGTGTGCGTGTGTGTAATCTGTACACATTTTGTGTTCTGTGTTTCTTTTAACGCTTTATTAAGTGATTTAGCTGAATATTATTACACAGCTGGCAGCAAAAACAATTATTACAATGTGTACGTCACTTTGAATGACGTTCTTTACAGTTTAGCGTACGACTGAAATAGAATCATGTCAGAGAATGCTTATGCAGGCATGAATATTTTTCGCTATCATTTTACGCTGTTATATCTCAATACATTATAACTATACAAGCAGGAAAAGATGTGTACCGGTAATACCGGAATAAGGTTAACAGAAAATATCGCAAAGTATGCACTCAGGCAGTTTCGGATCACATCGACCTCTGTTTTGCGATATTCTCAAAATAACCTTATATTGTCTTTACTAACACTGTAAAGGTAATATGAGGTTATTTCAATAATATCTCAAGTATGCATGAAGGCAGTATAGTGATCATTGCATAGCAGAGGTCGATGTGATCCTAAACTGCCTGAGTGCATACTTTGCGATATTCTCTAAACTATCTCCTATTATCATTACAGTGTTCATAAAGCATGGTTTATGTCACAGTCATCAAACTATTGATTGATATGTTTACAAATCTAATTAAGTTATTTGCCAAATGAGCACCAGTCCTGCATTAATGTGCCGACATACCATTATGCTAAGTGAAAATATGGTTCTACCATATTTGTTGTATTAAAGTACAGGTACTCACGTAAATGACTTGTTAAAAAAAAATTTGCATAAATGGTTTGGTGTACGAAAATTCTACCGAAACAAATTTTTTGGCTTGTTTGTACCTCTTTTAAAAATGTGTTTCTATTAAAGTAAAATATGTATTGTCACCTGAAAAAAAAAATTGATTTTTTGAAATATAAAAAAAAGATTCTTAAAACTACATCATGGGGGCGCTATACAGTATTGTACAGTCACACTATTGTGTTCGTTTTGACAACCACTCCTTGTATGTAAATATTCATGGGCTTTGTGATCAACATAGCTATTTTTGAAATATTTTGCATAAATTAGACAACTTTCTGATAATGCCATTTACATATAGATGCCCTTGGATAAAACCGACTATAAACCACTTATGTACATGTACAAACAAATCTAATTTTTGACTCCCATGTGCGAAGCACAAAAGGGAGTCTTTGCAGTTACCCTGTCTGTATGTCTGTATGTATGTATGTATGTCACTTTTTTTGTTCCACTGTTATCTCAAGAACCACTAATCAAATTTTGATGAATATTTTTGTCATTTTTGGTAAAAAGTGATATTTTCAATTATTGCTTTGATACTATACATATTTTTCATTTTCTAATGATATTTTCAGTTCTTTAATTTCTAAACTTATTTTGATTTTTACTTGAATTGTAGGAAGAAACAAAGTGATAAGATATTTTGCTAATAAAAAAAATTCTGTATTTTTTTTTCAGTTTTCACTCATGTAGCGAGTGATACCATTGTTGTGCAAGGAAAGTCTTTAACGTTGCCTTGTTCTGCTGTAAACACTGGTAGCCATGGTGATATCCAGAGACAGTGGACCCGGGATGGTGTCCCTGTCACCATCGGCTCACGGATACATCTCTTCCAGAACGGTTCATTGTACATTTCGCAGACGCTCCCTGGTGACGAGGGGGAGTATGTGTGCATCGCTAGTATTATAGGGCAACAGGGGAGCAATGTAGAAACGATACCAGCTAATGTCTATTTCGCTTGTAAGTATATCTGCAGTCTTCACTTTAATATCACTATAGCATATAATAGAAATAATATTACATCTTGGTTACATTTTCTACTGCGCGCTCATACTGGTAGAAGGATTCACTCGAGGCAAGCATGTTTACTAAATAAGTCAGCCTACCTACACGTGAGCTCACTAGCACTTTGGTAGCACCCCTATCATCATGCAAAGAACCTCCTGTACTTTGTGCACATGCTCATAGTTATTCATGATGCATTTTTCAGTCTGTTTGAACTTCACTATATAAACCAGCCTTACTTGTGCCCCATCCTTATGATTAAACCACCAAACGCACAGTCTAACAGAAAATGTTATTTCTGTATCTCATGGTATATATCAATTTTAACATCAATATACATGCATAAGCCATTCTAATAGAATTTGACTATGTTCTATTCAAAATGAGTAATGTGAATAATGTTATTATTATTATGAATAATTGTTATTATTATTAATTCTCACAGTTATAGACCCCGTATTTTACCATCCCGCATCGCAGACAGTGACAGATGGAGAACAGTACACACACTTGCAATGTGTCAGCGGTGATAGCAGACCTCCAGTTGAAATCAACTGGGAAAAAGATGGTGTTCCTTTTACGGAAGGTACTTCCTACCAAACTCTTTTTGGTAATGTTGAATCTATCAAGCAGTCGGGTACTTTACAGATAAATAACATCCGTGAAGAGCTCGCCGGACATTTTCGGTGTGTGACGGTGAACCCCTTACTCCGGGATCAGCCAGAGTATAGTAACTATGCAACGTTAACCGTGAATCGTAAGTACATTTGTTATTCTTACATAATAAGTCTGATTTATACAAAACATGATTTGTAGATTTTGTTTTTCTAATCAATCGTCTATACTAATAGTACCTTCTAATGAATTTAGAAGTTTCTCCTAAAATAAGCTTGCTAATGCTGAGGAGGGAAAGCAGCAACTAATTGTAATTGTCAAAAGCTCTCTGATTGGTGTGTGTGTGTAAATGGAAAAAGACAACTGTCTCACCAAACCAGTTTTCAATTTGAATGACACGGATTTGAATACGAATAAAATGTACTGTAAAATATTTTTTTTCCGCTTGGAATTAATTTTCACTGAAGGAATGATTCAGTGAAAATAAAATCCAGCGAATATATCTTTTTTCCTATATTTTACATTCAACTCATCAGAAATCAGTGAAAATAAATTCCATACAAAACGCCCAAAAAATATTTTCAGCGAAAATTAATTCCAACTAAAATAAAGTATTTCACAGTATACTGTAGAATACTTTATTTTCGCTTGGAATTTATTTTTGCTATTTTCGCTGAAGGAATGATTCAATGAAAATAAAATCCAGCGAATGTACCTTTTTTCCTATATTTTACATTCAACTCATCAGAAATCAGTAAAAATAAATTCCATACAAAACGCCAAAAAAATATTTTCAGCGAAAATTAATTCCAGCTAAAATGAAGTATTTCACAGTATAAGTATATTTATAAGGACAAACATTGATTTATTGTCTACAGTGTCTATTTTGTTTGTAAATGTTATGTTTTTTATGACAACTTTAAATAATTGTTGTTATTGTTTCACAGGTTTTTCCTAACTTCTGTTGAATAATCTCTGTTAGCGTTTATTATACTTATTAAAGTTGTATTTTCATAATAATATGTGTAATAGTAATAATGTGAATCGAGCAGTTACTCAAAATATAAAGGGCTTTCAACTAAGTTTTAATATTACATACTCCTTCCAATGTTATTTCTTAGATGGTTGTTATTCTTTTTACAGCGCGAGAAGGCCCTCCTTATGTCGTCTTATCACCGAGTAACATTACAGTCGGTGTGGGCAGCCCAGCTAGTATGGAGTGTCAGATAATAGGAACCCCTACCCCCACCATATCATGGATTAAACTGGGTGAAATTGGAGCAATAATAAACTCACCAGCTCGATATGTCCAGGATAATACCTTGTATATTACTAGTGTAGACGATGGGGATGCAGGTGTTTATATATGTACGGGTTCCAATTCAGAAGGGTCTATCTCCGCTGATCCAGCTTACCTGATTGTTGCAAGTAAGTACCTTTAGGCAACTGTGTAAGCTGTATTAATAGTGCATGAGCTTACATGTCAGAGGTATGTTGTCTGCAGCACCGTCCCTCAACACGGTGTCTGCGGTCAAAATATTAAAGTCATATTTGTTAATGATTCATCATACAATACCATATTTCTATTTCAATGATGACGCAACTAATTTAACAATTTTATTTTCTCCCAAATAGTAATATTTTCCTCAATCTGTCACACAGTGAACTAAAATTATTGTTTGAATTTGCATAAAATTATCATTATCATTTTTCGAGAAGGGTGCTCAGATTTTTTTAGTACCCTGAGTGTTAATTCGGACAAGTACGTAGTGATCAAGCACATGTACTTGTTGTCAAAATAAGTCTTATTTTAATATAAACTCACCACTCACAACAAATGCAATTTAAGTTCATGTTCAGTTCTTTTGAAGATATGCTTCATATGGTATTATGAAAATTGTTATTGGATACCCAATATTTTTATAAGCAAACATTGAGAAATAAAATTTATAAAAAATTGCTGAATATATCAACGCATATTGATGAGAAATGTTTGGTTTCTGAAGTGTATTGATGTTGAATGCTTAGTTGGGTCTTGAAATACTTCATTGGTAGTTATTTTTCTCATGGTAACTCAGAGGTTGGGGATTTTTTGTTCGATGCGAGATCCTGTATATTCCTTGAAAAGCATGGATCGAATATCTGCTTCAAAAATTGAATGATTTGTTTTCGAACTTGAATTTCTTTTCTTTTTTTATAGCTCAATGTCAAAAGCCATACTTTTTGAAAAAAATATGGCATTGAGATTCACATACTTTAATCAAAATTGACCATCATCATATAGCACATTATAAAACCTGGAATGATCCCAAAAATATATTTTAGCATTTTTCAAATCTCATGCGATGTTTTGATATGACTATGGCTCCATGACTTTTGTATCTCTTGTTTTTATGTTTGATTTCACGCATAATACTGGCAGTAAATGAGAAACAATCCAATTTATTTTCATCTTGGTTGTTTTCAGTTTCTGTTTGATGATTTATATGAGATATACTGCAAATATTGTGTAACTGAATAAAATTCAGTCTTTCTTAACGTATGCATACAAAAGTGTTATATTTTGGTTATCCGGCACTGCATGGAAACACGTAGATGTGCTGGAGAATATTTGGACGTGATGTGTTTAGTGTTGATAATAATACTTTTTAACTTGTAATTGACGACATGCATACAGATGATTGGAATGATCTCTTTGTTCATCTAATATATCGTTGTTCTTGCTAATGTCTACTGTCTTTTTTTTCCAGGTATGGGTACGTCATTTTTACAGCAACCATCAGACACTTTAGCTGTGTTAGGTACCACGGTTACATTGATTTGTCGTCCTCCTGTAAGCAATCCACCCTCTGTTGTCACATGGTACAAAGACAATGCAATAATACAGGAGTCATCACAGAAAATAATATTAGGTAATTTGTATTAATTATTTATTTGGATGATTGATTGATATACTTTAGATTGGTAGGTTGGTTGGATGATTGATTGATTGATTGATAAATTATTAAATAATTAATTTTAGTTCTGCTGTTGACAGAGTTGATTGGAGCGTATTGTATTACTAATTGTCTGCTGTCGTCTGTCGTCAACATCAAACTTTCATTTTTGATTTATTTTTAAAAACAACTAGTCAATTTGCTTTATTATCTTAAATGTTTGGTAGATACCTTGGGTTTTATCACTGACAGATTTGTTATTTTGTAATCAATTCCCTAATTTTGATGAATATTTTTGTCATTTTGGGGAAAAAAATGTGTTCATATAAATGATAAGTATCTCTCAGATATGCTCATTTGGTTTAATATAATTTTAATGGATCTTTTTGTAATTTTGGGTAAAACGTGATATTTTTTTATACTGTCCAAATTTTGTTCATTTTGTGAAGATAGCATCTATTCTCTAATTTCAGTGAATATTTTTGTAATTTTGGGTAAAAAGTGATATTCTATTCATATTTTTATCATTTATGGTATACAATTTTATTTTGACTTCTTCTTTAAAATGACTTTGATTGTTTTGATATTTTATATGTAGACTCATTGGGTGGACCTTAGTCAGATTTGTTCATTGTGTGATGATATCTTCTTGAAAATGGCTAGATTGATTGAACTAATGTTTCTCTCTCATCATGCATCTGGCTGCTTGTTTAAATAATTAATAGTATGATTATGAATATAATTTATAATCTGTGTTAATGCTCAATTATGACATGCATTGACCAAGCTGACATCCCCCTTTCACATTTTGACACCTCCCATGCCACATTGTACTTCATGCAATATTTGCTCACATTTCGTCCTTCAGGCGGATTTACATT